TTATCTGAGAATACGTCCGAGTTTGCGTCATCAGAGAGTCCAGAGGCACGTAGGGAGCGAACTGAGACGACGACGCCGTTCTCGACGTCCTGCACGTCGCCGCCAAGAAGGCAGTCAGCGACGCCAGCACTTCCACCCGTCCCAAGAGCTTGGTAGATGATGCTATAGATCTCTGGCTCGCTCAGCCGCCCACTGTTGCGCCAGTAATTCTTCAATATACGGGCACGACCATCGAGAATGATGCAGGGGTCTTCAGACACAATGGCCTGCACATTCCAGGTAGATGTGCCGCGACCAAGTCCGGACAATGAGCTCCAAAGTGGCGCACCGTAAATGAGCCAACGGCGCGCATCCGAGCCTATTGGAGGCACGATATAACGGGGAAGACCGATAGCCGACTCGGGAAGACCTTGAACGGCCATCTCATCGGGGACTTGTGTGATACCAGTCTCTATGCCCAGTTGCTCGGGAGACGCGAAGCGGCACAGGGCAATGATTACACGAACAAAGGTCTCTGCGGCACCCCATATATCGAGAACGGGCGAAAAGGTCACACCCTCACGATCAAAGTTCGCGACGCAGAAGTTGTGTCCGAAAATCAATAGACCGACAGAAAAACGTTGAAACGGGCGGACGGAAAGATGACAACGTGCATAATCAGCGACCTGGGTCCCGAAGTTGGAGGTCAGGCTTCGTTTGTCCGCCGACAAGGTGAAAGGGTGTTGTTTCGAGTGAGCTTTGATTTCGCCCCAACAGTCTAGCCCTTCCCATCGAGCGCTGTCCTGATCACCTGGCGTGTTTCGCATGTCTGGTTTTCCGGAAAGCACCTGACCGTTGACAGTTGCCTTGAGCAATACCTCGGTGGTGCCACAGTGAAAGTTTCGGTATTGTTTGTCGTGCCGAGGGCGGTTGTCTGCTTGGTCGAATGTACGGAGAATATGTGAAATCATGTCCATCTATGTCACTTCAGTCTACGTGCAACAAAATGTGGTACTGAATATCTCACCATCGGGGCATACATGCCCCTCTCGTTCTGCTCCTCGTTCTCTCTGTTCTTGGTGGTGGTCGCCGACTTGACGAAACCCGTCAACGCCGTACGTTCCTTTTCCAGCTTCTCGCCAGTTAGATCGGCCGCAAGAACTTTGACAATGTCCTGGGGCACATCATGACAGCCAATACGACGGAGGGTGCGGCTTCGGTGAGCGTCGGGTGGGTCAAGGATGATGGTCTCGGCGTCGAATTGCAGCCTGATGGAACCTCGGCTTGCGTTCGAACCAGGGGTGGAAGTATTGTGCGGGTTGCCGCTTTCACCTGAGTGAGGAGAGAGCGTTGAGAGAAGATGTGCCATAGAGAGGTAAGGAGGAGAGTGGGTTCGGAAGGGAGAGAGCGTTGGTGATACTGCAGTCAAGCTTACCAGACTCCTTATATTCGTCCCCGTACGACCACTGATCTGAGTCCGAGTCACAGCAAGAGCCGTCCGAAGAACAAGGAGCTTCCATAATGCCAGGGTGGTTGTGGGAGATTTCGAGCGTTCGCACAAGGATTTACTGTCGCCGAACGCACTAGAACAGTAGAACAAAAAAGTGCCAAGCTATACAGCTGTGTGCGTCGTTCTTCTATATGTCGCCTAGCTCCAGATACGTGAGAGGTGAAGGCTATAGAAATGGCCTCGTGGTAGGCAGGTGTAGAACCTCGTGGAGTTCGAGGTCGACTTCTCCCTTATTCGCGCGACTAGCAGGCCAGCAGTTGACCTGGATTTTGCTCCTAATCAGGTTCCTAGCCGAGCAAGCTCTGGGTTTGTTTATAACAAAAGTAATGAGCCTCCGGTACGGGGCAATCTGTTTAGACGATGGAAGTTGATACCGACAGCTGTTTCCGAAGGTGGGTCCCACGAGGTGGTTGCGGATCGGAAGATGCCGGTGCGCAACATCCTAGATTCCTAGTGACGGCCATGAATCCCCTTTTGAGGTGGCTCCCTTGTTCAATTGGGCGCAATGGCTGATCGATGGCTGAGTAGCATTGAGTACTGAACTCCGAGAGTCGATGAGCGGGTTGCTCGGAAGGTGGAGGTCATCTCTTGGCGGCGGCAGCGGGCCGGCAGAACCGTACCCGGTCGATTCGCCGCTGGCGCGACGGGATCACCTTTTACTTGCGAACTGTCCACAACCAGTATCACCCATTATCGGTTCACCGATCGACTCTGCTGTGCTTGTATCTGGTGGTGCTGAGGCCGATATGGTGCGTCATACTGTAAGATGTACTCTCTTACGACAGTGTATGAAGCTGATGCCAATGTTTGCAGGCTCATGCGGACCATTATCCCGTTTTCACGGACATCCTGAAGGCTCCTGAAGGGTGTGCGCCGGCGTTTCGAGAAGACTGGCAAGAAAGACATCCTCATAAATACTGTGAGCTTTATGTCTGCCGGGTCTTACTCTTGCGTTGACCGAGCATGAACAGTCTGGCACGGGCGTGCTTGCTGGCGACGCGAAAAGCATGCACGACGATCGCGTCACTTACGACGACAATAGCGTTGAGAGCATTGAGTTTTCGACCAAAGTAACCTCGCTCGCTCTGTGACTCTTGAGATCATCAATTGATCGTGGACGTACAGGCTACACACGCAGCTACATCATCCTCCCATCCACAATCTGTGGTCTCCTAACCGGGCTCGTCGCGGACGCCGACATCGCACACGTACGCTCACGACAGATTCTGGAAAGCGATAGTGGGCAAGGTGGGATGGTGGGTAAAGGTCTAATCGTCCGGGCCGTATGTGGAGATTCACGAACGTACGTCTGAATCGACCCAGACTCTATTTTCTTCATCACGCTGACCACTACACGGGACGGCTCGCAGTGGCCGAGATGTATATGATTATGCTCTGTGCGGCGCTTGACGGACAGCACCGCACGGCCGTGGAGGCTTCTACTTCGGCGCCAACGGGCACTACGGTCTCCTCGACACGGCGAAAGTATTTCCCTCTACGCTTTGCGACCTCAGCAAGAGCGCATCTCCCAAGCCCACGACATGCACAGAAGAAGACATCGACAAGTACCTAGGCGAAAACGACCACCTCGGTTCAACTTCCTTCGGTGTGCAGAACCGTGCACGCGAAAGAGCGCGGGTGAAACCCGACGAAGACGACGGACGATTTCTATAAGTTCATTCAGGAAGAGGTGGAGGCGATGGTGAAGAATCCGTTTAGGTCTCGTAAGTACTAGACAGTTGATCTTGAGCAGCGTGCGATATGTATACAGCTTCACCTAGAAATTCAAACCGATGCAGGGACTGAGACAGCCGGCAAGACGTCGTTCGTTGCGGTTCGCGCACGTCGAGTGGCGGCGATGGCGTGTATTTTTGGGTATGACTAGCCTTTCCGCCGGCCGCTGGCCAAGCCTACAGCCACAACCCGCAATACGCCTTCTAACCTTCCCATCGCCTCATCTCAAGCTTCAGCGTACGTCAAGATGGCAGCACGGGCTTCGGGAATTATATGGCGGGCGCTTACACGGAACAAACTGGCTTCGACACTGCTTCCGTCCGCTCTATCCCCTATGCTCTTGACCACACCATGGATTGTCGAGAAGACTTTTTCCATCGTCAAAGCTGTGCATTGAGGCGCGGGTATGCCGAGCAGCCTTGAAGAGCACCGCGCCGTTGTATTCGGAGCTGTCGACGGCGGACCGAAGTTGAACGCCGGACACGGGACTAACGGGCTACATTGCCCGCGCTGTATGAACCATGCGCATCTATCACCGTTGTAGGATTGACGGCCGGCTGTCTATGACTGTCCACGTGCGATGTTGAAACTGTATATAAAAGCACTGTTCACGCCAGTCTATTCCCCCGTGCTCCTGTTCGCCCATTCACGACTCATCATGAAACTTTACCTCCTATCCTCGCTCGCTGTCGCGGGGACTGTGTCAGCACAGAGCTTGACTGTCCCGTCGAACTGGAGGGTGAGCGTTCGCTCGTTTGGTCATGGATGCACTATCATGCTGACTATACATTGTGTCTAGAAACCGACCGTCACACAAACACGAGCTGAACGCATTCAGATCGCGCAAAGTGCGATCAACCTCTTCAACAGCTACTACGACACGACGACCGGGCGCTACAACTTCTCTTCCGCTTTCACTCAGGATCTTGCCATCGATGACAGTCAGTCGCTTAATGCTCTCATCAGCACGATCAGAATCTGACTTTAGAGCAGCTTTCATCGACCACAATGATACGATCGACTGGGCACGGCACGGAGCTTCAGGACTGCGTTACACGGTCATGCACGACTTGATCTCCAACACGACTGTCTACGAGAACTTCACAACGGGCGCACTGCAACGGGCGATCGATACTAACAAGCGTACTCTCTTCGGCGCTCCCATGGACTCGCTCATGACGGAGACCTTCGAGCAATTCGGTCTTGCAGCCACGGCCGCCTTCACTGCCTATGGAAACCAGGATATGCTCGCTCTTGCCAAGACTGTTCAGAGCATCATCGACGAGTATATCTCTACCAGCCAGGGTGCGGGGTACCCCGGCGCGTCAGTTGCGTTGCAAAAGTGTGCCACCACTGGTCTTGGTGGAACCATCTTCCCGTACCTCTCCGGAAAGCCTTCTCCTACGTCGCATCTGCAGCAGTACGGGTGGATCCAGAGCACGGACTGGACTGCTTACCTCGCGTACGTCTTTCTTTTTCTCATCCTCAGCTATCCAGTGACTGATGCTTTGCGGGCAGATTATCTTCATACGTTGCCCAGGCATCTGGTGACAGCAATGTCTTCGGTGAGGCCACTCGCATGTACGAGGTCCTCTCAACGGGTGTACCCAACCTTGTCCGCACAAACGATAGCTTCCCTCATCACATCTACGTGTACAACGCCACCGCCGCTGCCAAGTCGGACGTCGCTTCTCCTCTTCGCACCGATGCGGACCACACATTCGCGAACTGCCAGGGCTACGATGCGGAGAGTCCGAGCGGCGGAAGCTTGGTGCAGGCGTACAGTGTGTACGGAAGGCTGTCGAGTTCGCCCAGTGTACAGCAGCGGTGAGTCCTGTTGACGATGTTGGGTGAATGGCGTCCTGATATGACTTGTATAGCTTGATCCAGGTTGTCGAGAGCTCGACGAGCTATGGTAACTCCGAGGACGGCATCCTGCTCGATAATCGCCCGCCGTACCTTCTTGGTCGTGGCGGACACCTCGCGGGCTTCGTGGATCCTCTTCTCGAGACCACCAACAACGATCTGCGCTCGTACATCCAGGCCTATGCCAACGTGCAGGTCAGTTCTTGCTTGAATCGCTGTGCTCGATCCCTTTTGACATCTGTGTAGTTCAACGCGCTCCAGGACTTCGCCAAGAACCCTACCGAGGGCTCGTACAGCCAAGTCTGGGTCGAGCACGACGGCGACTTCGGCCAGTTCTTCGACCCGTACTATCAGCTTGAGGTCATCCCCGCACTGAACCTCGCCATCGGTCTCAATGACGCTTGATGAAGGCTTACGGATGGGTTGTTTTTTACTTGGACTTCTTCATTTGAACTTCTTTTGGGACAATGCAATGCATGCGGTACTATTACTAGCTTAAGTAATAGGCAATTGAATGGGCCTTGACGCGAACGAGAATGAAGTCATGATACGCAGACTTCACGGCCGGAAGCGAGTGTGAGGTCCATCCTGATAGTGGATTGGCCACATGTGTTCATGGCGCAGATAGTGCTCTGCTCGTACGTCGACATGAACGACACAGATTCCTGTGCTGCGCGAGCCTCGAGCGCGCGCTTGAGTGCGCTATAGAGCAGTTGAACGAGGCCTTCCGCCGCGCCGGCACGAGCTATGCTTGCGCGTCGATATGCATCCTCTTGGGGACACGGCGCCGCGAATGCACATATCTTCGGTCTATGCGCGCCAACGAGCGCGGGTGCATCCTCGCTGGCGCGTGCGTCGAGAACCTTCTGACTCGGGCCGATGACAGAGATATATATTGGATCATAGTTGGTATAGGATGCCTGAGGGTATGTATTTTGGGCGACAGGGATACGATCGATATGCGGATATACCAAATTGCGCCGCAGCCAACGTATGGAATGGAAGGGAGGTTTACACCGTTTCTGGTAGCGCGCATTAATTTGGCAAGTATTACAGAGCAATCCTAGGACGCACCGTGCACGATCAAGAGCATGGGGGGTAGTCTTATGTTAGGCGTCAGTGAGTGGCGGACGGCACCGGGGAACGGAGAAGTGACGGCGGCGGCGGAGTGATGGGAGGGAGCGGCAAGTTTACTCAATTTGGCGCGCGCGATTGTTGACGCAGACCACGATGTCCGACGCCTGGCTCCCTTCAATCGAGCCCGACCCAGATACCGCGGCAAAAGGCTTGAAGCATAAGATGCGTCAAAGGGTATTACTAGTATCTTCTGATCAGTCGCAATGCATATCCACCTTTGCTGCCCAATCGCCCGATTTTCTTTCGACTGCCCGCATAGCACTCCTCACCCTGTGTGCGGTTGGCGGGCGGGTATACATGTCGGTTCGGAGGGTTGGCGATCTATCTCACCTACCTGTGTCGCCCGAACGTGCCCATCCCAGCATTCCGTGTGGAAGAAGCTACCTCTGCCTTCTTACCCGGAGTTCTTGCGCAAACGTTGCGCGACTGCCACACCGCGAAGCTCGAGCGGATCCAAGCTTGTATCGTGTGGATCGACATGAGTCTGGACGGGCGGGACAGTCCTGGGCAAATTCTGGGGCACAGCTGGGGCCCACGAAGTAACGGCACTTCTCTCTTCCTCCGCGCGGGCAGCCCGCGGGCAAGATATTGTCGGCCGCTTCCGGCGTCCGGCCCCGCAAACTTCCTAGAACCGGCCTTTATGTCAAGACCTATAAAACTTGGGTATGGTAGCCGGCCAGCCCGTCCTCATCGACTTCTCGATACTTCCTATTCCCCACACTCAACTTCTCTAACTAACCCGCCTGGGGGTGCTCTTCGGCCACCATGCTCACCTTCTACAATCCCTACATCATCGGTGCTATCTCCACGATGGGAGGCTTCCTTTTCGGCACCGATATCTCATCCGTGTCAGCCTTCATTGGCGTTGACGGATATAAGGATTATTTCAACCATCCTGACGATATCGTTCAAGGCGGTATTACTGCAGGTAAGCCCTGCATTTCCGCTTCCTGCTATGAACTCTTCGCTGATTGTATATTTTCACAGCTATGCCCGGTGGCGCCTTCATTGGTGCCAACGTCGCTGGTTACGTTAGTAACCGCTTCGGTCGCAAGCCGTCTATCATCATGGCCACGGTCTTCTGGGTTATCGGTTGTGCGCTGTGCTCCGCCGCTCAGAGCGTCGGGATGCTCGTCGTCGGTCGTCTCATCAAGGGTATCTGCGTTGGCTGGTGCTCAAGCCAAGTCCCGGTTTACCTTGCCGAGCAATCGCCTAAGGTACGCGTTATCTCCGAGAGCCAATTCAGTTCGGCGACTGATCTCACTGAATAGGAAATTCGTGGTCGTCTCGTTGGCTGCCAACAGCTTGCCACAACCATCGGTATCCTCGTGATGTTCTACGTCTCGTACGGCTGCTCCTTCATCTCGGGGCCTACGTCCTGGCGTCTCGCTTGGGGACTGCAGATCATCCCGGGTTTCCTCCTCGCGATCGGCATGGTCTTCTGCCCCGAATCGACCCGGTGGCTTGCGTCTCACGACCGCTGGGAGGAGGCCGAGTACATTGTACAGCGCATCTACAACCAGCCGCTCGACTCCGCTCAAGTCCAGTCCGAGATCAAGGAGATGCATGAAGCTATTCGCCTCGAGCGCGAGGCAGCCGATGTCACCTACATGGACATGTTCCGCGCGCGCCTTATCACTCGTACCATCGCTGGCATGTCCGCACAGCTCTGGAGTCAACTCGTCGGTGTGAACGTGATGATGTACTACATCGTCAACATCTGTACGCACGCTTTCCACTCCTCTCGTATGCTGCAATGCTGACGATCATAATAGTCCAAATGGCGGGTCTTACGGGCAACACCAACCTCATTTCGTCCTCGATTCAGTACATCATCAACTTCGTCATGACCATCCCCGCCATCCTCTTCGTCGACCGTTGGGGACGTCGTATGACTCTCATGCTCGGCTCGGCATTCATGGCCGCCTGCCTGTTTACCGTTGCCGGACTGCTCGCTGGATACGGCCATTACGTCGACAGTGTTGACGGCAATGAGGACGTCAAATGGGTTGTTACCGGTCCGCCCTCTAAGGGTGTCATCGCCGCTTGCTACCTCTTCGTTGCCGCATTCGCCGTATCTTGGGTAAGTCTCCATCTAGCATTTATCTGCACCGAGGTCTCGGCTGACATGCACTGCCTAGGGCCCGGTCAGCTGGATTTACATCTCGGAGATCTTGTAAGTCTTGTCTGTCGCACGTACCCGCTCCGCGCTAACACCTATATCTAGCCCTCTCCCGGTCCGCGCCAATGCCGCCGGTCTCGCGACTGCCACCAATTGGATCATGAACTTTGCCCTCGCTTTCGTGAGTTCCCCCGTGACCCTTTCCGTTGATCTTGTTCCTGATTCCGACTGCCTAGTTTGTCCCTGTGGCGTTCAGGAATATCCAGTGGAAGACGTACATCATCTTCGGCGTTTTCTGTATCGCGTCCCTCGTCCAGGTCTTCTTCACCTACCACGAGACCAAGGGACGGTCGCTCGAGGAGATCTCCGCTCTTTTCGAGTCTGGTGTGTCCCCGTTCGCCAAGGCACCACCCGCCGATGCCCTGGCCCGCGTTACCGCTGGCCACAAGAAGATGGCATCCGTCTCGGACCATGACTCTACGGCAAGCCACCATATTCACGACCAGAAGATCGCGTAAACGCTTCCAGAGCCTTTAACTTCCATCAACAAAACGGGACGGTGTGCTCGGGAGTCCCACGTTACGACCTTGTACAATCCTATCTCTCACAGCTCAGCCCTCCACGTCTCAATCCTATCGAACCCATACCCTAATGTATCAACAAAATGTACTTGTATCCTTTCATGTTCGTTCATCTGTACCAGCAGCAGACACGTCCTTATGATTAACGAGCTTTCATGTACAATACTAGCATCCCTTGTAAACCTTGGTCTTCAATACGATGTCCCTCCTTGATGACTTGACTTCCGAGCCACGATTTACTTTCGCTACCGTGCACCCGATCGAAGGGCATCGCTCTGCGGTTGAGGACCGTCGGCTTCGTGGACGCAGAGGCGGCAAAGTGCCCGAGCACGATACACGGAGATACTACGCGTGACGTCACGCGTCAATCTCCGATCATACGACGGATATTGGCACCAGCACAACTCGTCCCGTCCGCTCTCAGGTTAAGAGCTTACACATTCTCCGAAGGCTGTCGGAAGACCTCCGGTATAAGTATGGCGCAGAAGGGGTACGCCACGAGAGTCTCACCGACGACTTTGCTCGCAACCACCACCACGATACGTCATGTCTTCCGGCAAGACCACCGTCTTCTTCACCGGCGCGACAGGCTACGTTGGCGGTGCGATCCTCACGCGCCTCCTCGAGGAGAATGCATACGAGATAACCGCCCTTGTACGTGATTCTGGGAAGGCAAAGAAGCTGAACGCGCTCGGCGTGTCTACTATTGTCGCCTCGCTCGACGACTCGGTTCCACTCGTCGCTGCTGCCGCCGCCGCAGATGTTGTTATCCAGACTGTACGTCTCTCAACACAAGATAGCCACTTCTACTGCTCATCATGAGGACTTGTCTTTAGGCTCACGCGGACCATCTACCTGCGATCAAGGACATTCTGAAGGGCATACGACAGCGCTTCGAGAAAACAGGAAAGCAGGGCATTCTTATCCATACGGTAGGTCTTTCTCATGCAGATGGGTAGTAATCAGTCACTAACGCCTTATTGAGTCTGGTACTGGCGTTCTCATAGACGATGCCAAGGGCATGCATGACAACCATATCACATACGATGATAGCAGCGTTGAGAGCATCGAGTCTCTTCCCCCTGATGCCTTTCACCGGCAAGTCGATCTCGAGATCGTCAAAGCTGATCAAGAAGGTAAGAGCAACCTGTTCTCCACTGAATGCCTCAATGTTGAGCTTGATCGTTGATCCGCGCATATCTAGGTTACGTCCGGACTCACATCATCATCCCGTCCACGATCTGGGGTATCCTGGATGGGCGTCTCGCGGAAGAAGGGATCTCACATCTCTACTCGCACCAGATCCCTTGGGCTATCGTTACCGGTATCAAGCGCGGACAAGGTGGGATGATAGGAAAGGGTTTGAATGTATGGCCGCATGTCGAGCTACACGAACGTATGTCTGCTTCTTCACTTGTCTCCATCATCAGAGCTGAGTACGATTGACAGTGGCTGAGTTGTACTTGATCGTGCTGCGGGCAGCGCTCGCAGACACGGCGCCACACGGGCGCGAAGGTGTATACTTTGGTGCCAGCGGGGAGTACCGCCTGTATGATGCCGCCAAAGCGTACACTGCTGCATTATACAAGCTCGGAAAGAGCAAGTCGCCCGAGCCGACCACATATACCAAAGAGGAGATTGACAGGTATCTCGGCGGGGTGCGTATCTCTTCCTGTACTCTTCGAGGTCTTATGGCGGCTGATGCGTACGCGTAGAGTGAATACCTTGGCTCAAACTCGAAGTGCAAAGTCGTGCGCGCAAAGGAGCTCGGCTGGAATCCCACCAAAACGACCGACGACTTCTACGCGTACATACCGACGGAGGTCGAGGCGATCGTCAAGGATCCATCCCAGCCACACAACAGCTAACTTTTCATGATGCACAACGGCGTATATTGAGTGTACAGTGACTGGGAGTAGGGAATGGAATCAAAGATTGTATACTGATTGGCTGATTTGTTCTGGTTTGGGACGACGGCTATTGCCCTAGGAAGGAGGATACAAAGAGACAGAATGTCCGACTTATGAGTCGCGCCGCGAAGGCAAGATGATAGATAGGTTCTTGAACACGAAACCCGAGATAGAAGGAGGGACAAAGGCCTTTGGCTACCCAAGAGAGAGATAGAGCGAAGATTCCCCTCTACTCAAGAAGGGATGGACGAGTTAGTGATCGGCTTGGGGTTCGGGATCTCAGCCGGTACGAGCGCAGCCGGGCCGGACGCGGGGATCTGATTGGCAGAAGTGTACTGGTTGTAAGCAGGGCAAAGCGCATTCCAGTCAGCTGTAGAGGTGTTCAACGATCAATCATGCAACGGGACTGAAAGTGGCCGTACCAGGGGGATGGTTGGTCGCGGAAACGTCAGGTACGTCCTCAGCAAATACAGCAGCTACAGCACAGGTACATGTCAGAAAACGGGGAGGTGCGGAAGAGCAGATGACCCACCGAAGCCGGCGTTCAGGTGCCAGTCTAGACAAGTCAAAGTCATCAGCGAGGAAAGGGATCCATCCAAGATGATGCCAACATACCGATATGGCAATGGAAGAACCAGGGGCCTGTCATTCAGCGATTCAGTATGCCGTGTAAGATCTTTGGTCCCAACATGTCACTCACCAGGGTTGTCGGTGAAGAAGCGGATCGTGGTGCGGTCATCGGTGGTTGTACCAATCGACACCACATCACGTTGAGGCGGGTTCACAAAGTTGTATGTCGAGTTTCCGGCCGAGCGCACGACCGAGAAGGCATGACCGTGGAGGTGGACCGGATGCGGCCCGGCAAGCACACCTCCCGGAATGGTGAGCTCCACGCTCTTGTTAGGCGCGAGGGTGTAGATGGACTTCTGCGGCATGAGCTTCGCCGCCGGAGTACCGCTGAGGATCTGGAGGAGAACCGGCACAGAGCTGAATTAATGTGAGCTTGAAATCCAACACTTCATGACAAGGACGATCTCACGGAGCTGCGAAGGGTTCACCGTTGATCGAGAAGAGGCCGTCAGTCGTGTTGAAAGCGACATCGAACTCGATGTTGATATCGGCGCCACCGGGAACGGGCTTGCCAGGAGGAACCGGGTTCGTCAAGGGGTGAAGGTCCTGTTCGTTGAGCAGCTGGTGGGCCGAACTTGTAGTCGTCGGGTTGACGGCCTTCGCTCCAGCGTAACGCAGGATAGCGCTGTTCATACCATTCGCGAAACTAGCGTTGATGTTGCTAGGCTGAGCGCGGATCCAATAATTCGAGACTGGTTGATTGGCGGCCATCTATCAGATCGGGCATTAGAACGGCGGCGCAGACACGATCGCTTGTTGGCATAAACGTACGACAAGCGAGTAGCGCTGAGCAGCGAATATCTGCACTGAGTCCACAGGGACGGGGTGGTGACTGACACCATCGGCCTCAATGACATTGAACGTATGACCGTCGATAGAGAAGATGAAGTTTGTGTCCTGAGCAACCAATTAGTTCTGCGTGATGTGGCGATCGGGTCAACGTACGCAGGAGATTGAGACTGATGGTATTGCATTAACGTCAGAAAACGTTCACTACAGACGAAGATGCACATACCAAGACGGAACCGATAGCGCTTGCCAGCTTGGACGTTGATGACGGAGAGAGGTGCAGCAGGACCCCCAGAATAGCGCCCCTTTCCATTGATAAGAGTGGTGTTCGGAGCGCTGTGCACGAAGTTCCAGTGTACTGAAAAGCGTCAAGGAGAGGTCACTCACGGTATACCTGGCGCCTGTGTAGATAAGTAATGATACCTACGTATACGATCAGCAGCCGAACGAAGCGAGCGATATGGGAGTATTCATACCAGTCACCGAGAGTAATGACGGTCGAATCGTTGTCAACGTCGTAGAGCGACTTCTGTGGGTCATTCTTGTCTACAAAGATTGATGTCAGCAACGTGCCTGCCATGAGGCATGGTCGCCCTTACCATACACGACAAGAGGACCACGAAGCCCCTAATGACCACAATTCTAATGAGTCTGGATTCTATGCACAAAGCAACTCTGGCGGCTCACATCGCAGTACTGGTTGCGGTAATGACTGACGAGATACTGAGGTTTAAATCAAGTCGACATCATCATAGACAGCGTCACAAACCTGTGGTACCAGAACTGCATTTCCGGTGTCAACAGAGCTATCGTGGAGGACTGGGTACATCACTCACAGTTCCAGCTTGGTCGGGGACCGAAAACTTGTAGTCGAAATCCTCCTTTGGGACTAAATCTCAGTGAGTATGCCGTGACAAGACATAAATGAGGTAGACACGTACTGATCGGGCACTGATTGATCTGAGAAGGGCCATCTGCCCAGTTTGTGCCTTTCTGGAACAGGCCGTGCCAGTGCTGCGTCGCGGTCAATACATCGCAAGAGGCATGGGATCATTAGGACGCACAATCGAGGTCACCGTGTCGAGACTCTTGTCAGTGAGGGAGTCGACCACGTTGAGATTGAAGGTATCGCCCTTCTGGCCGGTAATGAGTGGCGCAGGGAACTGTCCGTTCACAACGACAGTGCTGTTTGCAGATGGGTGAGAAAAGGTCAGGAAGAACATGAATGACTATGGCATACTCCCGCTTGAAGCCATCGGGCGAGAGCTGCACGTTCGAGACAGTGAGCTGAGCGGATGGACCGATTGCGGCCTCGGCGACGGCGACCAGAGCAAGGGTAGAAAGGAGAGACCAGGCGGCCATGGCGAATGAAGGAAGGGGACGATGAGAGGAACTGCCTAGATCCTGGGGCTTACACCGCACTTTCTATCGCCTTTATATATGTGAGGCATTTGCTTGAGACTTGCGGCATTCAAGTCGAGAGTTACGCGTTTGTGCCGCCCGATGGTCCATGCACCGATGCCGGCGCCGGTGAGACGACTATGGATGGTTAGTCACAACAGCCTTTACTGCGAAACGATGTGTACAGGTGGGAACAATACTCACCGGAAGCGCGGGCCCGTTTGCTGTTTAAGGTATCGATACAGGCCAGACCTCGATCCGACCCCTCGCCGAGTGAAAGACGGCACCGAAACGCAGACTTCGCCAGACTCCCGTTGCCGAGGTGTTCTGACAGCTGGCAGGACCCCATCAATTCGTGAATATCTATGGATTTCGTCGTCTGTCAGATTGTTCACCATGGTTTCGATACCGACCTATGGGATATTTAGCATAGTAAACGACGCGTCCCGCCATCTCGATCCGCGCGAGAGGACACCAGTGCTAGAACGTCTGACTTACGGTCAGCGGGCGGACAACCATTGCGGCGACACCTATACGAACGTGTGAGCTTCAGTAAACACATGCTCACACTCGGCGCGCTCAGCCCGCCAGTGAGCGACGGTACTGTAGATGAAGACGCCTCCATCAGCTTGAGTGTGCGAACAGGTGTCTGAAAGAGCTCTCACAGTGCGTCCTCTGTCAGGGTTGGCGGAGGTTGAGGGGATGTATCAATAAAAACTGGGTGTACTGAATCGTCACACCTGCGCCGTGCCTGTGGAGCGCCCTGGGATGCGTATAGACGTTGACATCTGAAACGGAGTGCATGCCGGATGAGCACCGTATGGTGTACATGGATGAGGATCCCGTTGCCTACTCTCCTCCGCAAGTTTATCAGTACACAGGAATCAAGCGTAAACCTATGGAGGGTCGATTCGCTGGCGAGTTCGAGTTGAGAGTTGCAGACAGCTTACAACCCGGCGAACAGGGTGATACACGGCCATCACGGCCGAACCGATGAGATGCGGCAATCAGATCATTTTACGATCAGAGATGACAGCTACTGAAGAGCTTGTTATACTGGACTCCATCAGAGCTGCCTACAACCTGAAGAAGCTAAGCTCGTCGACCGAACACTGAAGCACGTAAAAGTAGCGAGGAACATCGCACTATTACCTGTCTATTGTCGAAACAGGAACAGGAAGGGTAGAGGATCTCTTCAATGCAGGACATGGTCGCGCGATGATGCGCGCTGGTAAGGCACAGGAAGGGAAAGCAGCGGATCTGCTTCGAACGACCCAAAGTGGACAGCAGGGACAGTAAGAGGTCGACGCCACCATTTACTCACGTCGAGAGCCATGCTTTCCTCAGTGTCACAGCTGGATGGTGAATGGGTTCATCATTACTAGAACATTAGAGTGGAGCAGGGGTACTAACTGGGTAAATTACGCGCCCACGGGTACAATGTAGTGGGCACTCTAGTGAACCGTGCTTCGACATAGCGCTCGAAGGCACTGCAGTAGAAGCCCCTATTTGTGTTTAACCTTGGCGCCACATGCAAAGATTTGATCAAGGCGATGAGGGACAGAGCGCCGGTCATCTGCCTCCTCGCCCGCCCACGTCGACGAACAAGGCTCAGCTCTGAGAATGGCGCCCTTGCTGATGGGCCACGGCCGGTTGGTAATGGTCTTTTCATATCCGTTAAGTTCGGATGTCATGCATGTAACCCTTCGGTGGGTGGAAATGGGTGCTCATGCCGAAGCGCCGCGTCGTGGACTGGTGGTGGTCGAAGTTCAGAAGAAACCTTGAGCTCCGGGTCCGATGGCCGATGGATTAGCGCGCGTGACATCACGCGTTGAAATGTGGGTCACGGCGGGACATCTTGCCCACCGTCCGGTTCTTACGGAGAACGAGCCTGGGACGAGCATGTCCTCGCATGTTCCGTATTGCTGAACCACTACCCACGCTAGTCACTACATCTCCTCGTAGCACATGTATCTCAAAACGAAGATCTTCCTTACCGGTGCGACGGGGTTGGTCGGGCGTTCTTAGCATGCGCGCGTACTCACGCCGCTCTACTCATCCTACCGCCCTATAGGTACATCGGAGGTGCCTGTCTCCAGCGTCTCCTTGAGGAGAGCAGCTTCCAAATAACTGCTCTTGCCCGAGATGCTGAGAAAGCGCGCCTGCTGAACGGACTTGGCGTAGCGACGATCGTAGGGTCACTGGAAGATAGTGAGCTTTTGGCCGGTGCAGCTGCAGCCGCGGATGTCGTTTTCCACACAGTGTGTAGCCTGTCATGACAAGGACCATACCAAACCTAAAGCATGTTCTATACTACGCTAGGCTGACGCAGACCATCTACCCGCGATTTATTCTCTACTCCGCGGCATCATGCGGAGCCGCCATGATGAAACCAAGGAGGCGGGCATTCTGATACATACAGTATGTAGCATTGCCTCGGTGCATTGGATAACACTGAGCGGTCACAGTCTGGTACAGGGACCCTGCGCGATGAGGCCAGAGGAATGTACAAGTCCGAACGTATCTATCACGACGACAGAGTCGAGGAAATTGAATCACTGCCTCCCACGGCAGACCATCGCAATGTTGATATGGAAATCGTCAGGGCCGACCAGTCAGGTCAGATGCGAGGCACTTTCAAATGATGGCGGTACAACTGATGTCTCTGCGCTACAGGGTGTATACGAAGCTACATTGTAGTGCCTTCGACCGTTTGGGGCATACTGACTGGGAGACTGGTCGAATTGGGCATCGCGCACGCCCATTCCCAACAGATGCCAAATGCCATCAAGGCAAGCATCGCCCGCGGTCAGGGAGGGATGGTTGGCAAGGGTCTCAACGTCTGGCCTCACGTCGAGATCCGCGAGCGTATGTTGTCCATTTTCGAATGATTCGCGCACTCAGACCACCGGCAGTCGTGGATATGTACATGCTCATCCTTTATGCTGCTCTGGAAGATCACGCACCACACGGACGCGAAGGTTACTTCTTCGGAGTAAACGGAGAGTACCAACTCCTCGACGCGGCTCGAGTTTACACCGCAAGACTACACGCCCTGGATATGAGTCAAACGGCCGATCCTGTGACGTGGTCAAGAGAAGACATCGAGAAGTACTTACGAGGTGTAAGTACCCGTATTCCGTCGGTCTGTCCGAGAGCATGACCCACATTACCAGAGTGAATATGCCGGTTCGAACTCGCGCGCACGGGCGGTACGAGCTCGCGCTCTAGGGTGGATGCCTGTGAGAGGGAATGCAGAGTTCTACGATGGCATCGAGGAGGAAGTGGAGTCCATCGTGCGAGACCTAAAGCTCACCTGATGTCGACCCAGGCGTACCGATGTGTATACCATAAGCGCACCTCAGCGTACATGAAAGCACAAGATTCTTGATTGGCATTCGAGATCCTACAACAGCTCGCGCTACATAGGAAGCGTTGGTTCTTCGTGACTTAGGTCCTATCATACATCCAGAGATATGCAACTGAGGGGCGGGGTTTATAAGACAGACAGAGGCGGGGTAGAACGGCGCAAAGGATAGCGATAGCGACTAAGACTGAGCAAGGGGATTCATATGAAGTTAGTCGAATAATTGGAAGGGGGCGGGGATGGGGTTGTGGATGGAACGCAGCGATGCGATGTAATTATGCGGCAGCAGTAGAGAGCAACTTCGAGCGGAGCAATGGAGATGAAACGTGGCACGTCGTGAGGGGGGAAGCGTTTTTGAGCGGGCGCGAGGTTGCGGAGGTCTATGCCGTCTAGATGTCCTCATCCTTGTCCTCCAGCTGATCAGGTTTGAGCATGCCGGGGATGCGCATCGCCTGCTCGCGCTCGGCTTGGGCCTTGGCCGCCTGCTCCGCCTCCTTCTCGTCGCGGAACAGCTCCGCGGTATCGTCCGAGAACTCTTTGAGCTGGATCAGGAAGTCACGTAGGGCCAGCTTGAAGCGGTTCACGTCGCTGTGGAACTCAAAGAGGTTGACGGTGAACGTCATGATATCATGCCTGAAGCAAGTGTCAGTCGATACTATATCAGACATATCGTGAGAACGTACGTTGCGGCGTGAGGGAAAGCGCTCCTGAGTAGGTTCGCGGTGTAATCCCGGATGAATGCAGCGTTCGTCATGTTCGCGTCTGTGATAACGCCTGGATCGAATAACGGCGCTTTGATCTGGTCCGTCGCGACAAGTTGTACCATGCGCGCAAGCAGAAGCGCTTGGAGCTTGAAACCAGACTTGTGGTCGGCGTCCGTAAGGACGAAGAACGTGTCCTGCAGCACGGCCAAGTAGTACTGCTGGAAGAAGCTATTGGCGACGGCCGGGTCGGCGTTGGCGAAGTTGTTGATGATCTCGAGAGACACTACAGCCAGATCAGTGAATACAAGAAACGGGTCATCGGGAGCCCAGACATACAGTTGAGACCGATGTCGGCGATATCACGCGTTACGTGCTTGATTGCCCATACGATGCTGTCCATGAACAACTTGAACTGTGCCGGCGGTAGAGCGAGTAACGCGGGGAAACAGTTGAGGTTGATAGCCCGTAAGAGCTTGAAGAAACCGACGCGGTGTTCCGGGAACTCAGAGAAGTCCTGATTGATCATGTTGAGCGTCGGCTCAAACACGGCATCCAGAATCGCCGGCACTTGAGGCGTAAGCAGGTTCTGATCAAACGCGTCAGCGTCGTATCCAGCAGCGAAGTCGATGACGCATACCCCTAGACGAGAGGTGATGGTGGTCATGACATTCAAAACCTCGGCGTCGCGCGCATCCGGGACGTTGCTGGAGTAGTCGAGAAGGATCGTCTCGAGCAACATGGGAACCATGTCGCGCGAAAGCGTCTCAAGTTCCTCGGCTTTGCGAATGTACGTCTCGACGAGGCGCAGAATCTCCTTCTTGACAGTGCGCAGGTGGCGGACTTTAGGCGTCTTGGTGGCGATCAATCCTTGATGAAGAGATGAGCTTGTGAAGCCAATGCACAGGTACACTGGACTCCTACCATCTTTTTGCACGGTCTCGCTGATGATGCCGCTAACGAGGCGGTACAGTCCGAGCATATCCACGTAGATGAGTGCAATCTGCGGCGTGAAGAAGCTGCCAATGGACGTGCAGGCGGCGACGTTGGTCTTCAAAACATTGGCCAGGATGCGCAGGTTATCCGGGTTTTCGAGTGTCTCGCTGGCGTTCTGGCCTGCTTGCTGGATCAGGGACTCCCACTGTAGGCTCTCAGTTAGTGGGGCAACAAAGCATATGAGACAAGAGACATACTGCGTTGTTGGGCATCTCCATGAGCTTGGCGATGAGCTTCTCCTGCTGAGGCTTATTGGGCTGCGCGGAGATCATATATCCAACCGCCTCGTAGAACGTATGGATCTGCTGAGGCGAAAGGTCGATGGTGATTCGATGGAGCGAGCGCAGAATCTCGTCAACGAAGGGCTCCGCCTCTTGACTTTGCTGCATGACGAAGTGTCGCCGACACTTCTGTGCGATCTTGATGAACGTATCGCACGCCATATCCTGCACACCCTCATGGGTTTCGTGCATGAACTCGAAGAGCTTGTTGACAACCGTCTTCAAGAACTTCCAGTGTGCCTTGAGGAAGCGAGGGTACTGTCCGACGATGTACATGATGTCCGACGCGACGACGGCTTTGTTGTCTTTGCCGCGCTTGATCTCGCACAAGCCGAGGAGGTCCTTGATGACGATGACTAGGAAGCGCTTCTCGTTATCCTCGTCTGTGAGTCATACGTTAGCGAAGTGGCGCGTCACATAAGGAGCTATACATACTCATTGCTCCTGAGATAGAACCAATGGCCCAGCACAACGTGTTAAGGTTATTCCACGACCACTCGGAGCCGTCCACCTGCTTGGCAAGCTTCTCGGACAGGATTGTCTCCGTGTCCATGACGTCCAAGTGCGTAAGGTAGACCAGCAACTCGCGCATCGACTTGTAGAGCACGATGGTGTCGGACTCCTTCATGAACTCGCGCACAATCTCGCCCTCGTCGTTCTCGACAATGAGAACCTGGATAATCATGTTAGCAGACGCAAGTGAATCGGGATTCGCGAGGACTGACCTCTTCGGGCTTGACCATCTTCTCGATGACGACAAGCCGTAGGTTCGATAGAACGTCAGAGTAGATGTTCTTCCGGAGGGAGACTCCATTGAGCATCGCGCCGTTCGAACCACCAAGACTCAACCCCATGAGCAATCCTGAGTCGCCGATTGGCAAGCTCTGGATCTCGTCGTACAGCTCTGCAACCAGCTTGATCCAGTACTCCAAGCAAATCTTGAAGATCTCGCGCTCGTCCACCTGCGAGATCTTGACCATGTACAGGTGCGCGTTCAGCAGAACATCTTGTGTTTGCTCTGTCTCGACCGTCCGCAAGTGGTTTTGCAGGAAGTTGCACAAGAAGATAGCGAGGTTGAGAATGAACTCCTGCCCAGCGTCGTTCGAGTGGGCGTAAGCTTGCGCAATGTTCGTGTTTGGTGGTACCATGCGGTTCACGGCCGTCATGACCGCTTGGAAGAGCGCCACAAACTTGGGGTCGTACTCAGGTC